TAGGGAAAGGTGTAGGCGGGTGTTGGGTTGAAGAGGTGTTGGGAGGGATAACCATTGTAATTCAGAGGACTGAGCAAGGCTAGGGCAACATGTCATCTTTAGGACATAATTATTGCCAGTGCCTCTGCAAGAAGACCCGAAGCGGGGAGTCTGAGCAGAGGCAGATAGACTAAATAATCTCTGGAAACTCCTGCTTTCCATGCTGTAAAAACAGCCATCTTTTCAACTTCAGAATGCTCAGAATTCATCCTAGCCATTGGTTGGCAGAAGAGTGGGTTAGAATTGGCTGTCCATCTTGAGTGACAGCTGACCAAAGCCATCAGCCAGGTATATAGGAAAAACACACTCCTGTGTTTCTTCTTTACTCACACACTCAGTACTTCTGACACCAGATGTGTGGGTTTTCCACACATCAAGCAATTCTCTGACACCAGCTACAATTTAACTCAGTTCTGACTCTGTCTTACTTGGAGATAGCATCAGATCCCAGAGGTTAAGGGCTCAGTCCTACAAGACCGCTCCCTCCCCACTTTAGACGCCAGTCACAAGCCCAGGCTGTCACCTGTGCTTCTGACCGACCGGTTATAAATCAGGGTTCCCATGACCCCGTCCGTGGTTCATTCATTTGCTAAAACAGCTCACAGAACTCAGGGAAACACTAATATTTACCAATTTGTCAATTACTATTTTTATAATTATGTATTTATTATTAAATATGTAATGGAAATATATAATTTTTATTAAGTATATTTTTATTATATACTTCATGTATATAATATACTTCACACTATACTTTAGCTTAAAGTAACAAACTTACTATCTCATAGTTCTGGAGGTCAGAATTCCAAAATGGATTTCACCAGACTTATGTCAGGATGTCGTCAGGGCTGCGTTCCTTCCTCCATCTTTATATAACAGTACTTCGTGTATTATGTTTATTAAATATGTAATTATTATTATTAAAGGATAGGATTAAAGATACAGATGAATAACCAGATGAAGAGGTACGTAAAGCAAGGTGGGGGAGGGTCCTGTGTGCAGGAGCTTCTGTCCCCATAGAGTTGGGGTACGCTGCCATGTAGATGCGTCCACCACCCCAGAAGCTCTCTGAACCCCGTACTATTGGAATTTTTTTTTTTTTTGAGGCTTCATCATGTAGGCATGACGGATTATAAACTCCATTTCCAGCATGAAGTTTGGGGGTTAGAGCTGAAAATTCCAAGCTTCTAATCATGGCTCGGTCTTTCTGGTGACCAGCCAGCCCCGACCCGGGAGACCACCAAGGGTCACCTCGTTAGAAGAAAAGACACTCTAGGAAATTCCGAGGGATTTAGGACTTTGACGGCAGATGCTCCCATCACTCAAGAAATTACAAAGGTCTTAGGAGCTCTGCGTCAGGAACTGGGATCAAGGACTGAATGTTAAAACAAAAGATTCTTCTAACACCCCCATTTACAAGGGGGGCCGGGGGTTGTATGTCAGGATCCAGGGGGCAGAGACCATTGTGTATATTTCTTCTTATTTCACACCAAGGCAATCCGAGTCTGATTTTGCCACACACACACCCCCACCCACACACACCCACACACCCACACACACACACACACACCCACACACACACACACCCGACATCTCACCTGCACTCTCCTCCCCCACCTTGTGATTTACCCAATTGAGCCCAAATCTTAGGCTGTTGAGGTTTTCTTAGATGAAGACATAGCTCTGGTGCCCAGAGGCAGTGCCAGGAAGTCTAAAATGGCATCAAGACCAAAAAAAAAAAGAGGAAAGGCAAAACGGGGAACACTGGGTCTAAAACAGTCCACAATGTCCCCCACTTGCCCCTCCTGAGACCACAGTAACCATTACCCTTTGCCCCGTTGATCTCACGTCACATACCAAGTGGCCCTAGGGACTTGACACCTGGAAGCAGCATGGCCTAATGGTTATGCACATGGGCTTCGGCATTGGACATGTCTACATTCAGGTCCCAGCTGTACCCCTTTCTAGCTGTGACAAATGACAGTCTTAGATTCCTCACCTGTCAGCTGATGACCATAATAGCACCTTCCTCCTAAGGACTAACCTGGTAAGAACCATTGCTGGTGAGAAATAGAAAGTGTTTTGCCCTGTGCCTAGCACATGGTCAGCTCTCAGTGAATGATTCACAATACTCCTAAGTGTGATTCATGACTGCTAGCTCTGTACAGACGAGCTGTGCGACCTTGGGTAAGTTAGTTAGCCTCTGTATGCCTCAGTTTTCTGATCTATAAAATGGAGGTGATGGTTGTGCTGGATGCCTTTCTTCTGGCCCTTTAGATACGCTCTCTGCCCTTCTTAACCTGCTCTCTGTCCAGGAGGCTGACCTGGGTGGACTGTATCACTGGCCTCCCGTGGCCCCTGGCGTCCAGTTGGGCTCAGCCAATGGGAGACCTGAAAGAGAGAGGCAGAGATATTTATTCCCCTAGTGTCTTAGTCTCCTGTGGCAGCTCTAACAAATTGCCGCATTTAAGCCACATTAGTGGCTTACAGCAACATAAATTTATTATCTTACAGTTCTCAAGGTCAGAATTCCAAAATGGGTGAATCACTTAGCATCCCTGAGCATGTTTCTTCCGGAGATGTTAACTAAACCCTGCTTGAGATGCTGCAAAGATAAAAAGACCTAATGTATGTGGACATAATGAGGGATGTGTTGGTCATCGGCTGGAGAGGGGGCAGGTGAGGCTTTGCAGCTCTTCACCACTGGTCCCACCTACCTCCCTGGCACCCTTACTCATTCTGCTCCCTCTCTTCTACCACCCCCTTGCTCTGTTCTCTGTGCTCCAGCCAGACCCTGCTGCTTTTATTTCTTCATATACATTAACTAGTTCCGATCTGACATATGGCAGATGCTCTTCTTATCCCATTTTCCAGATGAGAACATTGAAGGACTAGACACTGAGTAGCTAACCCTTACAGCTTCCAGAGGGGTCTATATGCTGTCCTATCTCGCACCCAGTACAGATGCTGATCCTTCTGCCTCAAAGACCCTTTTCCTTACTCGTGTCTTAACTAACTCTTGCTCCTTCTGCAGGTCACAGCCTCTTAGAAACCTTCCCTGCCCCTTCAGGCTAGGGATAGCACCCCTACTGAGGACCCACAGCACCCTAGACTCTCCCTATTCCAGCACTCACACCCTGACTGTGAGTGCTTGTTTAGTTGTCTGCCTTCTCTGCTTGATTGCAACCTCTGTGGCAGCAGGAAATGAATACAGCTAGCTTGTTGATAGATTACCCGTATATGACATGCACTCAGAAATGTTCATTGTATGCATGTATATATATTTGGGTGGGTGAGTGGGTGGATGGGTGAATAAATGTATAGGTAGGTAGATAAATTGGATGGACAGATAGGAAAGTTGGTGGATATATAGATAGATGGGTAGGCAAGTGATTGGGTGGGTGAATATTTGGATGGATGGATGGGTGGGTGGATGGATGGATGGATGGATGGATGGATGGATGGATGGATGGATGGATGGATGGATGGTGGATGGATGGATGGATGGATGGATGGATGGATGGATGGATGGATGGTTGGATGGATATATATTTGAATGGAGGGGTGGATGGATGAATGGATAGATGGATGGATATTTGAATGGATGGGTGGATAAGTGGATGGATGAATGGACGGACAGTCGGACGGGTGAATAGATTTATCAGTAGTCTAGTCAGCTACACTAACTCTCACCACCTCTTCTGTAGTGAGAGCTTTTTTTCCATTCTCAGCTCAGCTCGAACCTCTTGTATTTGGTAGGTGTTCAAACACCTCTGTCACGAAGACACAGAAATCCACAAGGCAAAGTCATACTCACTTCTCTGTGCTAGAAAGGACACTGTAAGGAGGCTCAGAGAAATCTGGCAACCAAATTAATGGTAATAAATATGGATAAACGTTGCTCAGCGATTCCCGGGAGCCAGGCAGTGTGTTAAGCAATGCCATTTGTTCAAGAAATATTTGCTGAATGCCAGCTCGGTGGCAGGCACTGTACTATGCTCGGGGATACATCAGCGAACAAAGTAGACAAAAAAATTCGTGTACTCATGGAGTTTATAGCCTTGAAGACACTGCCTTGTTTAATCGTAACGATCCTGGGAGGGTGGGTACCGTTCACATCTCTTTTCACAGAGCAGAAATTGAGTTAAACGACTTGCCAAAGATTGCAAACCTTGTGATAACGGTACTAACAGCAGTAGTAGCAGCTCAGACGGAGTCAACCCTTTGCATGGGCCTGGACGGCTCTAACTCATTTCCTTCTGACAGCTGTCTTACAGGTCAGGTGCTGTTGTTTGTGTGTGGGGGGGGGGGCGGTTATTGAAGTAAAATTCACATAAAATTCACAGTGTTGTGTCACCATTACCTGTGTCTAGTTCCAAGACATTTTCATCACCCCGAAAGGAAACCCTGTCCCCGTTAGCGGACACTCCCTCCCCCAATCCCTGGTAACCACTAACCTGCTTCCTTCCTGTCTTTGGATTTACCTATTCCG